TATGTTCGTGTTTGGCGACAACGGATATAATCCGCCTGACCGGTTCATCGCATCGGAAACAAAAAAGCGAAAGAATTTGAAACGTTTATCACGATGTTTTTCGTCAGTCGATAACGCGTTAGTGAATAGTAGTGTTTGTTGCGTGGCTCAAACGAAATCAAAAATGGCACATGTTTACGAAAATGCTGAACTCGTGGACATGATTCTTATTTACGGGGGGGCAGTCTTTACAAAATACTCCCGGATGCATCACGGATTTATGCGAATCGGTTTCCCAATCGAGTGCAACCAACCCCTCGTGGCTTTGTTAATGTAGTACAAAGGGCTCGTGAATCAGGTGACTTAAGACCTCACAGGTCAGGGCATGCTGCTCCAAGACCGCACGATCAAATACAGGTCCGCACTGAAATACTTGTCGGGACGATACTTTATTAAACAAGGTAACATTTTTTTTTTATTTATTTTTTTATTTTTACACACATATTTTAGATTATCTTCCTTCTACAATCATTATCTGAAAATTAATGACTCAACTTCAAAGTCACCTGTATATAAATATTATATATATATTAAATATTATGAATATATTAAATGTCTGCGTTGACCCTTGGAGCGCATAATTTTATATTGGAGGTTACATGTCAAAATTATCCTTTTTCATACTTCTCTGCGACTATACGGGAAACCACAAAAATACCCCGTATCAATATCGTAGAGAATTCTCTATAAAATCCACCGAGTTGCTTTTTTGTGTGTTGTAGTTTATGCGTTCTTTGATTCATAAGGTCGAAGCTGCGTTGCATACGAGGCATGTTTTATTGTTATAGTTCATTAATTTGATATGAAATCAGATACTAATATTCTTTATTTATTATAGTGTATTTAATGTGCTCCCAAGTTTCAGATTTGTGTGAATTTTTGCAATCATTCAATATTCTTTCTTGCATTTTGTCTGGGCTAAGAATAGAAGATTCGCTTTGCAGCCAGCCAAGGCCAACATAATTCCCTGATAAGATTCGGTCATGGTCACATGCGATATTTCCCAGGTTATAACTCAAAATCCATGTGTGTCTACATCTACTTCATAGTGGTTCGGGACTAGGATTTTAGTATTTTCTTTTATGGCTCTGAAATATAAGATATATGACCCCACGTCGATATAGTTGGTGCGAGAAATACGATCTTCATCATTTAACAGCTCTCAAATGCTGATATATGGACCATCGCAGATGCATATGGCCCAAGTAATATCATTTTTATCATGTAGTTGGGGTGAGAAATATAAGTAACACAAGCAAAAAAGCCCTTACTTACACGCGATTCTTATGATCCTGCGTTTCGGTTTACCGTTTGAGTTACACGCAACAAAGAGATATACAGGGTGTTAATAAAGTATGTAGATAAACTTTAACCTTCGAATCCTTGGTAAATTTGAAGACGAAATTTCCATATGAACATGGGTCCATAACAGCTTTGTTTTCAAGCTAGAGCATATTAGCACTAATAGAAATGATGGTATTGTTCTAAGAAAATTATAAAAGAATGAAAAGTATTTTATTTTGACTTAGTATGCCCTGTGGTGAATACCACATGTTTTAGAGTTGTTTCAGACCCTCCTTGTACGTAGATATGGATAATGTTATCCAGTATTTTTTGAAAAAATAGCTTGACATTGATTTGTTTTGACTATTGACCTTCATATTTAGCCTCGGTAACTTGTAAAATATGCAAAATTTATCATAGGTTATCCCAACCGTTCAATAAATACGTTCCATTATTCATAGAAATATTTGGAACATTACACGTACTTCTTTAGTGTTAGTGCTCTGGCTCGAAAAGAAATCCGTTACGGACCAATGGTCATATGAAGATTTAGTATTGAAAATGACCAAGGATTCGATGGTCAAAGTTTGTCTACATACTTTATTAACACCCTCTATACACTATAATGGGAGCACGGTATCCACTTGCATCTCCTTGTTAACAACTACCGCTGCGCGTCTAACAATGTTCTGTATAAAGAAAATCTGACGGTACCCGAGTCAGTCTTGACTTGTTTTCTGTTGGTGTACCTAAATTTTATGAAATAGATTCACTCTGTCATAGTTCATCATTCTAATGCTTATATGACGATTTCTGGAGGGTAAAATAGGCGACATAATTTATTATATCACCCTTAATTGGTTGAGCGGTCTCAGTACTTTTGTTGACTATGTATAATTTCTTACTTTTTGATAACCAAGTTTATGCCAGTTCATTTCTTGGTGGTTGTAGCTATGTCCAGTCATTTAAAAATTAATGAATAATTCTGTTTCTGAAAAAAATTCACTTAGTTGTAAATGTGTTATTTGTTTCTAGTTGTATTTTCTACTTCTCATAATCCTTGATTAGATATTAAATCAGTCGCCAGATACCTCCGAAACACCCAGTTTTTTAGAATGGATATCCTACCTTTTCCTGCATGTCTCTTTAAAAATTTCACTGTTTTCTTTCTGTCATTACTTTTTAATATAATCGCATAAGCACCAGCAAAGCCCAGGACCACCTGGAGTAGCCAGTGCCGCTTCCAAAAGGTGTTCCACCCCTCCAAGCGACAACTGATCAGGAGGTTATCCTTGTCTTGGAAGTACTAGAAAAGTCACCCTCACTCATCGTCCTGAAGACGCCAAACGACTTCAAGAAGCCAAAAATCTCAACCAGTGCTGTATCGCAAAACACCAGTTGAACGTTAAGCAATTTCAGGCTACCAACGCTGTATCTGAGTAATGCGCCTAATACAGAAATCACAGCAGATATTCTCAAATGTATGATCTGTGAAATCTGTGTGATAGGTGCGTATAATTACCGGGGCTGGAAGCAAAAATGAGATATAACCTCCCCCATGAAAATTTTCCGAAAACAAGCGTCTGAATACCAGAAAACCAAACTTACGTAAAATACGTATTTTTTGGCCTTGTATGTAAGTGTTATTGGAATGCGAGCTATCCAGATACTCCAACGGCCAAGGATTAGTGAATAGACAGACAAATAAACCACCGGAAATGAGTGACATGGTTTTTCGTAATGTAAATGTCACAGAACGTCCAAAAATCGGAATATCTTACTTTGAAAATTTATGGTGGTTACAATCCCTCTTTGCCTGTGGTTAGAAAAGTAAGGTGACAACAAATTCGTGATTTGCGCATCCGATTTACCTAGGCTTCAGTCGAGGTTGCATATTTATATTTTCATTAATAATTTTAACCTTCCAAGCTGCTCAGAACAAAATTTCGATTTTCATCTAATGTAGCAATCAGCTTGAGCGCAGCTGACTACTGAGCTGCAAAATAATACATAAAGCAAAATTTTCCATATTTCATGCTTCTGTTGCAAGAAGTATTTTCGAGAACATTACGCCTTGATGTTTAATGATCCGAACAAATCCGAGAAGCTCACTGATTGAAAATCTATACCAAAGGAGCAGAGGGCTTGAAGCACCTGGACTTCTCAACATTTGTACGACTGATAAGAGGAGTCACATGTGAAAAACAAGTAAATTACAAAGGGCAAAAAATCCGGAGATCGGAGGAAGCTACATTAGTAGGTACATTATGTTTTGATAATTCGCGCAGGACTAAAATGTAATACAATCCTTTTTCTCTTATTCTCATCCTTTCATAAACTTGCCTGCTTTAGTCCAACGCTGCCTCATTTGTCTTAACTCTTTTCGCAGTTCTATAATATCCCATTTAATTTACATATCTACTCCAACGTATTCTCCTGTTTCTCACCCACTTTATCATGTTTTCAATGTTACTTTGTTGACTTATGTTCCTCATTTGTTACGTCCCTCAATGTTTCCATCAGTTATAATTTGCATAGTTTTAGATGTATCTGCTGATTTCAGTTGCATATGTTGATACTGGCCTTCCAGTCGTTCTACTGAGCTATGTGAATGAAAGGCACAAAATTTCGGCATTGTGTCGTATTGATCACTGGGTTGCCGAAATTAGCAGCATCTCGAACACCCCTTCTGAAATTGCTTCCACCTGAAACACCCAGAAATACTCACTATGAATCCCAAAATGTATAGAGAATTTGCCACCAATTCAGTTGATAGTTCCACCAGTTGCAATATGATCTAAACAATAATATATTTAGCAAGTTTCAAACAGAATTGACCTGGTGGTGACATGACCGTCATTCCATTAGGAGCAGTTAAGATGGACAAAGGCGGTATCTTGCAGGAATTCTGAGGGCAGAGCGTCATTACCGCAAGGCTAAAGTCGAAATTGGCAGTGACCAAGTTGCACATAACTGGGCGAGCGTGTATAGGAGTTGGCATATAATAAGCAACAACGTCTAACTGTACATACACACACAGAGAGAGAATATCTCTGTGTATACGTTACTACGCTGAATATATCGATTGGAAATTAGAATACCCTATCCACAGCTCTCCGGCTAGCCTATGATTAGCAAAAGCTCTCAGCTGGATAGTAATTTGGGGGCTGCTGTGGGACTGCGGGCGTACGTTATGCTGTAGTGGCGTTATCAAGAGCAGTACTCACATGGATGAGATTCTTTAGAAGGATAAAACAGTTTAGAAATTGTTTTTGAACAGTGCAGGTTTTCGTGGGATGACTAACGTATAGGAAATGGTCTCTTCTTGGATTTTAACCCGAGATCCGACACGTGGGGTGTGATAAGCCCCAACGATAGAATTTTACAAATTATCTACTTAAATTTCGCGCCGACTGCTGACAGCGCCTCAGTAGCTTCCAAAGTCACTCCAATAAGTCACATGAGCCACATGCGGCAGTTGGTCTGTTGATTCCTAGTGATCAGTATCGTCGCATACTTGTTTGGGGTTTGTCATACCCCACGTGTCGGAACTCGGAAGTCCTTTGCAGTTGTTTTATTTCACTTTTTCTAGCAATTATAAAGGTGAATTCACATTTTACAAATTTTTTAATTAAAATTTTATACTGTTAAACAATATTTCAGTTTTGTTTATAAATATGTGCGGATACGAGAAGGAGCAACGTAGGCTTTGGGCACCTTGGGAGGAAGTACAGAATGAAGATGAAGCGATCGATCGAGACGATTCAGAAGAAGAAGAAGATGAAATAGATAATGCAAGTGTTTGCAACGACTATCCCGATTTGGAGCAAGACGATAAAGTTATAGGAGATCAAGATGATAAAGCACAAGCCGAGGACCTGGCCACGTGTCGTTTCTTTCTTGGAAAAAACGGGATGAAATGGTTCAAAGAGTGTCCTAATGGAAATCTTCGAACTAGATCTGAAAACATTATAACCCATCTTCCAGGAGTTAAGAACTACGCAAAAATGGAGGAAACTCCACTTGAATGCTTTCTCCTCTTTATTGATGGAATAATAATCACACATACAGTCAAAAATGTAAATATAAGGATCATAGAAAAATCTGAAAAATGGAAGAACAAAGGAATCAATCCGGCAGAAATTAAAGAAGTGTGCGGCCTTTTGTACCTATCGGGAGTTTTTTAAAATAACCACCAATATTTATATGAACTATGGAATACCGACGGTACAGGAATGGATATATTTCTTGCTACTATGAACCAAAGGTGATTTGAATTCCTTACGTTTCGACAACAAAAGTAATCGCGAAGATAGGGATAAATTGGATAAGTTGACCCATATTAGAGTTGTTTGTGATAGATTTGTTGACAACTGTCAAAATGCTTATTCACCGTCTCAATATCTTACAGTTGATGAGAAACTGGAATCATTTCGTGGCAGGTGTTCCTTCAGAAAATACATGCCGAATAAGCCCGCAAAATACGCCATAAAGGTACACGCCTTAGTGGATGCGATAACGTATTATCTTCTCAATATGAAGGTTTATGTGGGGAAGCAACCAGAGGGAGTATTTACTATCAGCAATAGTCCTAAGGACGTAGTGAGTCGCTTAGTGGCTCCGGCCTCAGGAACGAACCGTAACATCACTTTCGACAATTGGTATACCAGTCTTGAGCTTCTAGAAATTCGGCGCAATGGTCACGAACTGACTGCGGCGGAAACTATACGGAAAAATAAAGCATGTGTACCAGCATATTTTTTTAATGTAAATAATGGAGAAGTTCATTCTAGTTTATTTGGATTCCAGAAAGGATATACGCTTATTTCCTACTGCCCAGAAAACGACATAATTGTGCTGCTTTTATCTTCTTTACATCAAGAAATAGTCGACGTTGGCCTTTAACTTTATTTTTCTCCCTCTTAAATACTGCAGGCGTTAACAGTTATATTATATATAGAGAGAACACCAACGTCAAATTACCAAGAAGAATTTTCTTGAAGCAATTGGGTATGCAGTAGGCAGAAGAGCTTCGAAGAAGCAGAATGACAAACCCTAGGCTAACAGAGGAGCTAAGAGGGAATATTCGGATAATTTTGGGTGAAAATCCAGAACCTCCATCAAAGAAAGTAAGATCAAATCAACAACGGAGGTGTTCAGAATGTCTAGAAAGACCAGATACGTTTGTCAAACCTGCGAAAGATTTATTTGCCTTGGAAATTCACTTAAGTTTTGCAAAAATTGTGCTGAGGTTACCAATTAATAAAACTGCTTCTGTTTCATTTAGGTTTATTTGTTTTCTTTTACATAGAAATACAGAGTGTCTTCTTTTATTTTCAGTAAAAATATAATATAAAAAATAGTTTTTTTTATTTTTATATGAAATTAGAAACTTGTTCCTGCGTTCCCAAGGAAGAAATGTAATTTCAAATAAATTAGTTATGTGACTATTATATATTGAAATTAGTTTTTTTGTTGTTATACTAGTAGTATTAACTTAAACCATTTTAAATGTAATTAGTTAATAAAAAGCCTGCCTACATTTGGGGTTTGTCACACTCCACCTGTCAGAACTTGTAATGGAATTTCATCTGTCGGATGCCAGGTTAAACAAACAGTAACGCTTCCTTGAGGAACGTTCAAGGGAGGATTTAATATTTGCATTTGAAACTAGGCTACAACAGTTGTCATGACAATTTGAAAATCGACGTCAGAAAGATGTTTCAAAATGTTTATGATAAACGTTACTAAATAATGCAAAATAGTAATGTGAGTTTGCGTTTTCAAGTTTACGGGTATAGCGAATAGCGGATTCACAGCGAGCGAATTAGACTGAGAACCTACATACACCCAGTTTTCCAAAAAATTGCGTTCCTGGTTATACGCACAGTAGTTCTCAAAACTGAAACATTTCATGATCTGTTAGCTTTAATTAACTGCGTTTGTAGGGTTTGTTGAAAGTAAAAGGGAGACTTAGCGAGGAAGATGGGATGGTTTGAACATAAACTTGAAGGGACTATTGAAAGCAAGAGAGCAGATATAACCTATAGAGCAACGAACTAAAAAATATGGGACCCAAAGGTATTAAAAATTTGTGAGTTTTCCAAAATGTGCACGATTTTTCACATTTTCAAAGTCTCCAAAGCGCTCAAAATTTTCAATAGCAGCAGCTGCGCGGCTGGCAAGTACTTTTCTCAGGCTGAACTATACTTTAGCACATATCGCAAATATTATATTTCTTATTTTAAAATGAAAGATTATGATGTAGCTTGCACGAAAATATCATTTTTTTTTAAAGGAACCCTCTGCTTGCTATTTTAAAGAACTTCAAAGTTGCATTTTGTGTGGTAATACTGTGGTATAGAATCCTGATTTATAAGCTGTTTTTAATAAATAATCTTTCATTTTAAAGTAAGAAATGAAGTATTTGCGATATCCGCTAAAGGATAATCTTACCCTTTTCCCATAATACCGTACCTACATAGTTGATGACACTGCCTTAACGTACGTTCTACTTACTTCAGGCATTTCGAAAATTCATTCGATCGAACATTTATCACACCTGCCTCGGTATTCAGTTTCTACCTTGGCGGTATTTCCATTGTAAAACAGACTGTAGAATGTAATCAAAATTTGCCATGGCCTCGCATTAAAACAATACGTGACATTCTACAAAAGTTTACTATCACTTTTTTAAACAAACTGTATTGAATGGTATATTTCTGGATAAGGCTTTTTAGTATATATCATCCTCACCTGGGCATCAATCACCAGTAGCAAAATGAATGAAATTTTTTGTGCGGCATTGCCCCATAAATCATTGTGGCAGTCGTCTGGTGTGTTTTTCGACATGCAGATTATTTGTTTCATCGCCGAATACTGATTTTTACGGACAATGTCACCCCTGACGCTACTTTTTTATGTGCTGGTTGGCGTTTCCATTACAAACCCAAAAATACGTTTTAAATTCTAGTTTGCGTTGGGAAATTTTGATCCGTATTCATGGTGGATCCTTGGGGTGCCTTTGACAAGGCCTGCACGTCAATTACTTGAAGCGTACTTTGGGTGAGAGGAGCTCCGTTCTTCATCATCTGTTGGGAGAGGTCGGCACTAGGATGCCGCAAGCCTTGGGGGACATCCGGCTTGAGGCCGAGGTGAGTGGAGACTACCCGCAGAGCATTTGCCTCCGCCCTCATCTATGGTGCATTATCTTGGACGGCCTGCTTCTTGCGGTACTGACTGAATTCGGCTTCTACGCGCAAGCTTATCCAGATCACGACCTTCAGCTTGTTTCAGACAAGTTCTGGTCGTCATCTGAGGGAGAATGCAGTCACCCTGCTATACTTTAGGAATATGGTATGTGAAGACACCTCTCACAGACCATCTAAGACTGAGTTCGTCCTCTCCATCAAGAGACGGAAGATAGAAGATTTCAATCCACCTACATTCCATGATGCACCAGTGACTCTCAAGAGGGCGTGGTGCTGGATTGTGAGTTGTCACGGAACCAGCATTTCGACTATTTCTACAAAAAGTCGATAGCGACCATGTTAAAGTTGCATCGAGCGGTTGGCAGCAGGACGTGGGGATCAAAAACCAAAGGTCCTGCATTGGCTTTACATGACGGTCGTAATGCCTAGGTACAGTATGAATGTGTGGTCTGGCGGCCATGTATCGGAAGGACTTCAGTTACCCACAAGCTCACCAAGATTCGAAAACTGGCGCGATGAAGTCAACCCCTTCTGCAGCACTTGACGTTATCCTGGGGCTATCGCCACTGGATGTCTGTATAAAGCGGAAGACCATGTCGGCACACCCAAAGACGCGCGATGGTGGATGATACGAGAACCGATGGTTGGTCAGCCCATATCTTTGTTAAAAGTAGAAAGGAGGAATGAATGAATGGAGTAATAACATTTCCGCTTCAGTGTCTTTTGTGCTTCACAAATGGATTCTTTCTCAAGAAAACGGGATCCAGTGGGGCAGGAAAAGAAAGGCGTGCAGGAAAGTTCCGGAATCTGTACAACGATCTTCCAGGCAGAGATATTTGCCATCTTAACGGATTCACACTCAAATGAGATTGTGGCCTCCACGAGAAAAGGGTCGCCCTTAGTTCAGGAATGTACTACTGCTCTTCATAGCTTAGTCCGATCTAAAGAAGTGACCCTGCTCTGGGTCTCCTGACAAAGCCGATCGTCTATGTGGGCTGGGTGCCAGAAGCACCTGCATCGGTTCCCAGCCTACACTGGGCATAAGCAGGAACTATTTCAACACCGCCCTGAATGAATAGGTCGGACACGCTGGCTACTGGATAGGGAGAGAGAATCGCTCAATCCTTCGTGAGGGTCCTCATTTCTCTTAAGGATGAGGACACAAGAGCAAACAGATTTGTGATTTTAGATGTGTAGTAGCTCTTGTGTTCTGTACGAAGCGTAATGCGCCCTTTAGTAAATATTCAAGATTTATGGAGTTATTAAATTTTGAAGATCTTTAAAGGTTGTGAAAAAAATCTTAATTGTAGTAATATCCTTGAAGAATTTTGAAGGAGAAAAATTCTGAAAATCCCAAAAGCCATGAAAATTCTATGAATTGTGGAAATTTTGAAAAATTGGCTGAAATTAGCTGTTCAAGCTATATGAATTCGAAAAACATATGAGCTTATGGCAGACACTAGCATCATTTTAAGATGTCTTTGGCCAATGATTATAAACTCAGTCGCACCTATAATGCCAATTTGACCCTTTAATTTTCAGAGACGTCCTTTCATAGCAATTCTCATGGAAAATTAATTTCATTTTTATCAAAGAGTTCTCTATGGATATAAGGTTAAAGCATCAGAGGTTTCTACATAATATGTGGTTTTATTTAGAGGCTTATCAGTCTGAAAACCAGAGGATAAATTGCAGGTGTTACACTGGTTTCCAAGCAACAAGGTGCGCAAGTGTAGCAAATTTCGAAAAAATATTTCACAAAAAATGCCCTTTAGTCTGTTTAGACTTTCACCAGAAAAGAAATAGTGCTTTAATGTGGCTATTGCCTGTTTTTAATCACATTTTTTATTTTCTTGAGAAAACGGACGTAGAAAATGGTTCCCTGTCAAATTGACTGTATTACTGTATTACAAATACATGTGAACTTCCATTTTGTTTATAGTGCAAGTCTGAATTTGTGTAAAATTCTAGTATTA